TTGTTCCCAAGAAGTCCTAAGGATGAATTCCTACCTCTCTCCCCTCTCTTTATACCTTCTCCATTTGCTCTTGGTGTTTGTAAGCCATTAGAGGAGTGACACTTGTGACTCTAAGCATTCCAAAGTCAATTCAAGGAGGAATTAGGATTGTTATTACTCTATAACAATCAAGGTATGTTCTTAAACCCATTCATATGTTAATATCGATTTCATATACTAGAATTAGGGTTTATAGTCTTGGATTCAAAGCATGTACAATAGAGAAACCTAGATCCAAGCATTAGGGTTTGTATGAGCACATAGGATGTCTTATGACCAAAACCCATCACTCACCAACTTAATTGTTGACACTTTTTTAAAACTACTTGTATTCTCAGGAAATCAGTGAAACAGGAAAACTTCAGCGCTTTGAGGATGGGACGTTAAACCGTCAACAATTTATTTTTGTCATCATAATGTAATTGATTTAGAAACATGTAAACATATACTTTGGTGTTACTTTTTCAATTATATTTATGATGGTTGTATTTACTTTGAGCACTATTATACACGTTGTTGTGATATTGTACATGAAGTCCTCCACCCCCGGACGTTTCCGCCATCCTTGGTTTGGGGGTGTGACAATAAGTTTATATCTTATAAATGTTTAGAAGATTTTTTATAAACTTTTATCCCCTTTCTTTCTTAAAATCAGGAAGCTAGTGAGGGGAAAAGATATAAAGGCTTTTGATTATAATACAATGTTTGACATGCTTTAGAAGCATGCGTCTTTAACATCATTAATCATAGAAGTATGGGGTGTCTTAAAAGGTTAATACATAATAGGTAAAGGGATAAGCATAAAGGCTTTACACTTGACTTTTCCTCCTCACTTCATAAAGCCGAACACACTCTCTTTTTTTCTATCTTCTCATCCATCTTAATTGTTAAGACAAAGTAGAAACAAAATGATACTTGCATTCTTTCTTTCAAGACAATTGTTATCTTGTCTTAGAAGCTTAAGAGTTTAGGATAAACATCCAAGTTAAGTTGGTAATTGTTGGTGTCAATCTTTAGATGATCACTCTTTGAATAAATCTCTACAGATAAAACAGTTAAACTTAATTACCATTCGGTTGGGACAAACCCTGAACTTTTTACCATGATTAGTCTTCATGGTTGATGTCCAAATTCGAGAAGGGTACCCATAACCATAAGGTTTGCATCATCAAATATCTTATATGTCTTTTAATTTCATGAGTTTGAGTTGGAGATCATGGATTTACTAGAAAGAAGAATCCATTAGATAGAAGAAGTCATTCGTTCATGAAAAATCCCTAAATTGGTTTATAAATGTGGGATATATCAATTAATGTCATTTCATCAAGAAACAGAGAGTTGGTTACTAGTAGTTAACATTTACACACAATGCATAGTTTGTTGGTGTTTTCTATACTAAGATGTTATTTGGATTATGATTTTTAACATACCAAATTTAGATGATGTTTTATGAACGATTATGAAACATAGTTACCATCACGAGTCATTTTCTCTTAATAAACTTTCACATATAATATCTTGCCCATCACTTACAAATTTCATTTACTATAAAATGACATTTGAACAAAATATATAGTTTATTAGTGTTTTTATACAAAAATCTTATTTGAATGATTTCTTTTAAACATACCAAACTTGAGTATGTATTTTTAATGATTTTAAAATATAATTATCTTCCTAAATTATTCTTCTTTAGATATAACTAAAAACAGACTAAATTTAACCTTACACCATGTTCCCGAGTTACAATTAACGGGGGAAAAGGAAAGAAAAGGAAGGAATCGGAGAGAAAGAAGGAGTCTACAGTGTTCCCAAGTTTATTTTATGGAGTGATTTAGAAAGAAAGAAAAGGAAATTGGAGGTATCTTTTCTCTCCTAATCTTCCTCCAAAATTGGAGAGATTTTGAGAGAAGAGAACCATTGATAAATAGAATATCCTGGTGATAACCAAACAACCCATGAACCCTATATAATCACGTATAAAAACGACATGCAGAAAAAAAAAATCGTTGCTTCTCATCCTTTGTTTCATGCTCTTTTCACAACTCACTGCTTCATCCTCTATTCATGCTTCCATTATCAGGTTTCTTATCCTCTTTGATTTCTATTTTGTCTTTCTTATACATGATGTCATTCTATAATGAATACAAGATAGTCTATTTCATCTCTTCTTAGATTTCTTCTTAATATTTCTTATATGTTTGTAATTTGGTGTTAGTTTTGTATTTAATTGGCATTTATATATTCACATCATATTTGGTGCTAGTTGGGCACTTCAAATAATTTTGATTGCATTCTTATACATAAAGGTCGTATATAACTAATTTGGTACTGTTTCTATTTTGCATTATAAAGCTTTCAGTTTAATAATAAATTGACTAGGTCCAACCAACAGTTTTGGGTTTTCTTTGCGTCTCTGAAAATTTTAACAGTAAACTTTAATTGTTGAATTTTTTAGTTTGACTAATGACTCAAGTTCAGTTATTATTCAATGATTTAAGGCTAATTAAACTATGGTCTTATAGCATCATCCTGCAATATAATCAATAATATATTGTCCTACAAATTTGAAAATTGATTTTTTTTAATTCAATGACTATTTTACCCTGCCGTATACTTCAAAACCATGAAAAATAGAAAATACAATGTTACTATTTATAGCATCATATTTTTTCTTTAAAATATTTATTGTACTTTCATGTAATTTTGAAAATCCAAAATTTTTAATGAAATTACCATTTTATCCCTGCATTAGCTATTCATTTATTTAGAAAAAATTAAAGTACGTTGTCATTTACTGTAGGTTTTTAAACAAAGATATGCATTTGGGTTGAAGTTGATTATAATAAAAAAGTGAAATTTGTTTTTAAATGTTGATATTTTGGTTTTTAAACTAATATTATACAAAACTTTACCAAAAACTTGACCAACAATATTATATTTCTACATGTTTTAAGTAGTTCATAAATTTTTCTCCTTATTCGTATCACTAACTAGAATTAATGGTTTTCACTTTTCATGTTATTTTATAAATAACGAAATGACTATTTTAATAAAATGATGTATCACCTCCTGACTAGAAACTCTTAGACATGTTCTTATAATATGTTTGTTAAATTACATTTTTGATCCTTGGTTATACTTCACTTTAGCAATTTTGGTTTCATAAATTTCTTGAGCTTATCAATTTAATCGTTTATTATAAACATTTTTTTTCTCTTTGACCGAAATTGATAAGAAAATATACCATAGTGACCAAATGAACAAAACTTTCAAGAATCACATTTTGATAACCATAATATACCCTATACATCCAAATACAACACAAGAATCATACTTTAATAATTTCAATAAAATAGGTAACATTTTTTATGGATAGTGAGCTACAAACACCCGCTCAATTTTTGAGAGCTAGGCAAAGGCAAGTAGTTCATCTGCTTTGCTTGTTGATGGCCATTCTGACACATCGTGCCCTTGCCAACACAAACCGTTCCAAATTACCTTCTAGAAAAGTTATTTTAAAACGACGACATATACACAAACAATTGCTACACGACCTTTCAAACGGTGGTCAATGTTGTGAACTTATTCGTATGAGTGAGCAGGCTTTTAAGAAATTGTGCACTATCTTACAACAAGTTGGTGGTCTTCCAGCTACTCAACGCATGTCTGTTGAAGAACATGTTGCAAGATTTTTGCACATTGTCGGAAATGATTTTTGAAATCGATTTGTCTCTTAGTTGTATCGTCGCTCTAAATCCACTACAAGTAGGTGCTTCCATAGAGTTCTTCGGGTAATTATATCACTAGAAAGTCATTATATTCAACAACCAATAGGTGATGTTGTACAAAAAGAAATTCAAGAAAAAAAAACGATTTTATCCTTACTTCAAGAATTGTATATGTGCAATTGACGGGACACGTGTTCGTGTCAAAGTACCTAACAAAGATGCCCCTAGATATTGTGGTCGCAAGGGATACCATAAGATAAATGTTTTAGCTGCTTGTACATTTGATTTAAAGTTTACGTACATTTTAAGTGGTTAGGAGGGTACAACATCAGACTCAAGGATACTAAAGAATGTACTCAATAAAGAAGATAAACTAGTAATTCCAAAGGGTAAATTTTTAATACCAAAATTACTCTTATGTGTAATCTAATTTTTAATACATAACAAATTACAACTTATTTGTAGGTCGATATTGTTTGTTAGATGCTGGTTTTCCTCATACAACTACACAAATGGCACCATATCACGGTGTCAGATATCATTTGAAAGAGTATTCTGCTCGGGCCCTTAAGAATGCAAAAGAGTTGTTTAATCTCCGTGATGCTTCATTACGTAACGCTATAGAACAGACATTTGGTGTTCTAAAGAGAAGGTTTCCTATCATTAGAAGTACACAAGAACCTTTTTATTCTTGTGAAACACAATCAAACATTTTCTTGGCATGTTGTATTTTACATAACTTTTTGTTAGAAGAAGATCGAGACAAAATCTTAAAGATGAGGTCCTATAGGAGATGTTAAATGAACGAAGGTAGGAAATGCGCCATAATATAAGAGAGACAAGTGAGGGTAATGCTGCAGCAGAGCAAATAAGGAACTTAATTGCAAATAAAATGTGGACTGATTACTTGCCAAATCGAAACCATGAGATAAATATATTAATGTAGCTACTAGTTTTTATTATAGCATTTCAATTTGATTTTGTATGGATCTTTTGTGTTTGACTTGATCTTGTATGAATGATTAGTTTTTGACTTTATTTGTGTTAGTTATCTTTGGACATGTTATTTACTCATTATTTGTACATCCTCTAAGTATGTATTTTTATGTTATCAATGCATGCTTTGTTTATTTATGATGTTATGCATGTCAAAATGATGAAGGAAGAACAAGTTACTATGAAAGAACAAATAAATAGACAGATTGGATGGATTATTGTTTTATTCAATCTATGATGACACAAGATGAGAAAGGATCAAGGATTAGTGGGAGTTTCATCCCACAAGCGTACAATAACATGGTGGAGGAGCTTAATCAAAAGTTTGGGAAGAGTTTAACAAAAAATCATTTAAAAAATCGTTTGAAAACTTTAAAATCAAGTTTCTCGCAATGGTATGACATTTTCCACGAAACTTCATTGAGTGGGTTCGGTTGGAATTATGAAACACAACTAATTGAAGCGGACGAGGAAGTGTGGGCCAACCTAATTAATGTAAGTTTCTTTTATTACATGTGACTTAGTTTGTATACATTTATGTTATTTTTCTTAACAATAATTGTATTTGGGATTGTGTGTTACAGTCAAAGCCAGGGGCAATTTCATTGTAGTCCAAAAAAATACCAAACTACAATGAAATGATAGCTTTGTTTGCAAAAGATAGGGCTTCAGGGGTGCATACTGAAACCATGAAAGAGAAGAATGCTCGATTGAACAGGACTGGAGATATCAAAGTAGAAACAATTAAAAAAGTGGATCAATTACTAGCAAACAATGACATTACACTTGAGAAACAACAAAAAAATAATGATGATGATGATGATGATGATGATGATCTTGATGATATTTAAGTGTTATTTCCTACATGCTTTTCACCGGGGCAAAATTCAAGTTCTAAGAAGTACAGAAGTACAAAAGTAAAAAAAAAATGAAACATGAAATTGAAGATGAAGATGAACTTGAAGCTGAACCTGAATCGTTTGAAAAGTTTATTATGAGTACAGTTAAAGATGTGGCATCTGCTATGAGGGAGGGTAACAAAATCTTCGAAAACTCTCATCATCGGGTTTATACGGGTGATAAAATTTATAAAGAGTTAGAGTCAATGAATTTGGAACCCAATGAATTAGCAGAAGCTCTCCTGTTTTTGTCGTGAAATTAATCTGATGTGGGGACATTATTTAGAGTTCCATTTAAAATACGAAAAAGTTTGCTGAAAAAAATGATAGGGGCAAGTAAATGACTTACTTAGGATGATAGTTTTTTGAATTTTTTTTATCAATTTGACTTCATATTTTTTGGTTTTTGGTTTGAGTTCATACATTGGAATTTGTTTGATTCACTTTAAATTGGTTTCTTATGAATTTGTTTGATTATTCATACATTTATCTTATTTTTGGTTTGGGTTTATTGACTTCTGTTTCACTTTATATTAGTTTTGTTTGAAAAAAAGTTATACAAATAAAGAACATACTAGAATTGTGATTAATAATGAATTATACATTAGTGATTTTTGTATAAATAATCATGTGAAAAAAATAATTAAAGAAGTTGAGATGTAGGCAATAGTTGGCAAAAAAAATAATAGTTTAAGCATAATTTTGTTTTCAAGAGAATCACGTGGTCTATATTTGAAATTATGGAAAAAAAATGTGACAATGGTATAGTTGTTCACTTTTAATTTTTATTTATTTTCCTTTTAACTCGGAAACAAAAAAAAAATCATTTTCTTTCTCTTAAATTGAGAAATAGAAAAATACATTTTACTTTAGGGAATATGACTTATCAAGGTAATTAACTTTTCGGTATGTTCACATCTGGGTAACTATCTTTTTTTTGTACATATGTAGGTAACAAACTTTTTGGAAGTGTTCACATATGACAATTATGACCTGCTATAACAGGTTAAATCCTAGATGTGAACGCTTTCAACAAGTTTGTTACCTAGATGTGTACAAAAAAATAGTTACCCAAATATGAACAAAACGAAAAGTAAAAATTAAATTACATGAATGGTCCCTGTGGTTTGGGGAATTTGTGGTTTTGGTCGCTAACTTATTTTTTTTAACTTAAATGGCTCCTACTGTTTATTTTTGTTGCGCGTTTGGTCCCCGTCTTACCTAAAAATACTATTGTGCCCTTATGTATTTATTTTTTTAATTAGTATTCTTATCTATGTATTTATCTTTTACATATTCAAAAAAATTAATAGACCACACATATTTGTATCTCCTCCCCATCTTCTATTTCTTTTCCATCTTTAGTAACATCGACATCTTCACCGTCCTTTTTTTTTTGGTACTCCAACTCTGGCGAACCAACACCATAACCTACTGTCTTTTCATCTTTAGTGGGTTGTGGTGCTGATTCGACGGAGTTGAAGGACCGAAAAAAGAAATGATGATGAAGACGTCGATATCACTAAAGATGAAAAATAAATAGAAGTTGAGAATGATGAAAGATGGGATGATGATGAGATACAGATATGTGAGTTCTACTAATTTTTCTTAAACATATAAAGCATAAGTACATAAACAAGAAAATTAATTAAAAAAAATTACCAAGGGCACAATAGTCTTTTTAGGTAAGACAGAGACCAAGTTCGTAACAAAATTAAATAGTAGGGACCATTCGAGTTAAAAAATTAAACTAATTAAAAAATAAATAGTAGGGATCATCCGAGGAGATACAAATATGTGTGGTTTATTAATTTTTTTTAAATATGTAAAAAAATAAATACATAGATAAGAAAATTAATTAAAAAAATAAATTAATAAGGGCACAAAAGTATTTTTAGGTAAGACGGGGACCAAACACACAACAAAAATAAATAGTAGGGACCATTTAAGTTAAAAAAAATAAGTTAGCGATCAAAACCACAAATTCCCCCAAACCACAGGGACCACTCATGTAATTTAATTTTTATTTTTCGTTTGTTTATATTTGGGTAACTATTTTTTTTACACATCTAGGTAACAAACCTGTTGAAAGCGTTCACATCTAGGATTTAACCTGCTATAGCAGGTCATAATGGTCATATGTGAACACTTCCAAAAAATTTGTTACCTACATATGTAAAAAAAAAATAATTACCCAGATGTGAACATATCGAAAAATTAATTACCTTGATAAGTCATATTCCCTTTTACTTTACTTTTCTTTCCATCCTTTTTATCTCCACATTTCTTCTTTTCCTTTTTTCTTTCCTTTAAATGAAACTCATAACAAGGTGTTAGTCTTAAAAAATAAATAAATAAATAAATAAATGGAATTACCTTTGACTTCCACCGCATCATTGTTGACATGACTACTTACCTGGTTTTCGTGGGTACCTGCCGACCTGCGTATCATCGGGGTTACAGCCTTACAGGTTAGGCTTTCAGTCGATTCCCTTCTAAATATGGGCAAATCGGATAGCAAAACCTCAACAACCACTCAATCTGAAGAGGTAGAAGAACGAAAACCGAATCCGTCCCTGATTTTGCTCAGCAGAGACGATGATGCTTATGAGGACCTAAGCCTGAAACCGGTGGAAAAATTAGCTGTAGGAGAATGTAGTAATGTTAATAGCAATGACAATACTTCATTTTCATCCTATTCCGAAGTTATCATCACAGATGTTAGGGAGATAATTAAGAATACGAAGGAGATGACGGGAGCACAAAGCAATGTAAGCACTTTAGATCCAATTGAAAACTCCTCATTTTGTTTTTGTTGTTGTTGTACTACTTATTGAATTCTATAGCTTCGAGTAATTGGAAAAAGTGTCTACAAGTTCGCTCATATTGTGCGCAAATTTGATGGTTGGAGCTTATCTGCTTTTATTTTGTTTCCTTTCGGGGGGATGCTGAATAGAAACTGAAGCTCTTTTAATTCAGTGTTTCAAATATGATTTCTATGACTTCGAACCCCAAACACTACTTCAAAGATTCATAAGAAGTATTTGGTAATCATTTTTTTTTTTTTTTTTTTGGGTAATTACAAGTTCTGGAGCTAGTATTTGGGGGTTTTTGGATTTGCTTCTCTAAAGTGATTATTCTGATTTCAAGAATTAAATCAGATAATCATTTGATAAAAGTTGGGAGTAATAAGATAATTTACATTTATCCATGATTACCCTACTTTCATTTCTTCCTAAATCCTAATACAACATTACACTTTAAAGAAAAATTGAAACCCATTTATAGCAATTTCATTGAAATTCAAATCAGTTATCAATGCTATAATTGGGTAGATTTTTCAAGGTATAATGTCTTAATATGATTTTTTTTTGAAACACAGTGCCATAATTATGTAGATTTTTCAAAGTACAATGCATTGATAAGAAAAATTGAAAGTACAATGCTATAACTAAAAGAAAAAAAAAACTAGGATGCTATGATACACAAATAAATGGAAGTGCATTGCTATTTCATTTAGCCCTGTATTTTAGTTACTAAATTGGCTGAAAGGTATATTGATGTGACTCATTTGGAAACCATTATTTGATTGCATTAGGTTGAAGACACAGAGAAGAAAGAGGAGAATGTTGAATTAATAGAGAAATCTGATAATGTTGTACTAAGGAAGCTTCTTGTAAGTTGAATAAATCCATTTGAATAGCAACATACTTGCATTGGCTTCTTTATTATATCATCCTACTTTCATTTCTTTCTATTGTAACATTATACTTTAAAGAATGTACCTAATTATAGCAATGTCATCCAAATTTTAACAATTTTCACTGTTAAAATTTGGTAGATATTTCAAAAGTATAATGCCCTAAAAAGAAACAAATTGAAAGTACAATGCTATATTTGTGTACGTCTTACAAAGTATAATGTCTTGAGAAGAAAAAACTTGTAAGCTGAATGCTAGAAAGAAATAAAAGCAGGATCATATAATACACAAATAAAACAAAGTAACTTGATATTTCATGCATTTAGCCCTTAAAATATCAATTCATAGCAATCCAAATGTTAGATTGTTATATCAAGGGTCAAGTACAATAAATAGCAACATACTTCCATTGATTTGTTTTGTGTAGCATCCTACAAAGAACAAATTAGGTAGATTCTTCAAAATACAATGTTTTTTTAAGAAAAAAAAACTTATATGTAAAATACTATGATAAAAAAAAAAATATTAGGATACTACAATACACAATTAAATAAAAGTACATTGCTATTCATGAAATTTAGCCTTTAAAGTATCAACTCATCTTACTAGTTTTATGAAGGGTCAAATCCAAGTAATAGAAAAGTACTTTTATTGACTTGTTTATTACAACATCCTACTTATATTTCTTCCTATTACAACATTATAGATTATACTTTGAAAAATCAACCCAATTATAGCAATGTCATCCAAATACAAATCAATTTTCACTGCTATAATTGTGCTGATTTTACAATGTACAATGTCTTAATATAAGAAACAACTTCAAACTATACTATCTTAATTAGGTAGATTTATCAAATACTTCCAACTACAAATACAATAGAAAGAAGGGTTAATCCCAAAAAAGACCTTATATTTTGTGTTTTTTCCGGATTAAACCTCAAATTTATCTCTTGCCTGAAAAACAATTTTTTTGCCAAAAAAAAATTGTAAAATGTGAGGGTTTTTTCAAGAAAAACTAAGAAAGTTGTGGGTTTTTTTCGGAAAAAATACAAAGTTGAGCACTTTTTCGGAAAAAATACGAGGTCTTTTTCAGACAAAAAATAAATTTCAGTTTTAATCCGGAAAAAACACAAAATATCCCTAAAAAGAAATAAAAGTAGGAAGCTATAATGCACAAATTAATGGAACTACCTTGCCTTTTCTTGCATTTAGCCCTTATAATATGAATTCATTGCAAACCTAATGTTGATGTAATTGTATATGATGAATTTTATTAATGAGTTAATTAATTATGTCTAGAGGGGACCTAGGTATTTTGATCCTCCAGATAATAATTTGAGAAATTGTTATAATTGTGGAGAAACTGGTCATACACTTGTCAATTGTTTAGCAGCTAAACGCAAGAAGCCTTGTTTTGTATGTGGAAGTTTGGAGCACAATGCAAAACAATGCAAACAGGTTTGGATCTTTAATTTTTCTTTAACATTTTTGATAAAAAAAAATCTTTAATATGTCTTTTAACTTTTTTTTTTTATCACTATGTTTTCAGCCCTTCATGTTTAAGGTTCTTTGAGCCCTTAAAAAAAATTGTATAAGGATGTTATACTTCCATAAATGTAGAGAATTATAGGAGTGACAATTGTGTTGTATTTCACTAACATTGCTATAATTGGGTAGATTTTTCAAAGGGCAATTTTGTAATTTGATAAGTTGGAAGTAGGATATGCTATAATAGTAACAAAAAGTTACACCTTTGACCTTCTAATCTACTTTAAACAAAAAAATAAAAAACCTTATCATGTTTGTTTTTTAAATAAATGAAGCAAAACAATAAATCTTATTACAATATGCAACTGCAAAACTTTCACATGTTTGTATATATGTTACATTAATGTTTATTCACAGTTGTTATCAATCATGAATATTTAAAATAAAAAGTTTTTGATATTACAATTAGCAACAATAACTATCCAAAGCATGTTAGATGAACATTATCCATTCAATCCAGTTCTAGACCAAATATATTTTTAACTTTTTATGTCATTGTAACAAAATTTTAATTTTTTGACAGGGAAAAGATTGTTATATATGCAAAAAATCTGGTCATCGTGCAAGAAATTGCCCAGAAAAAACTACAAAAAGCTTTCAAAAAGCTAAATTTTGTTTAAAATGTGGTGATTCTGGACATGAAATATTCACATGCAAGAATGTCTACTCCCCTGATGACCTCAAGGTCAAAATCTCTTTTTACATGAAATAAAAACATACTTACTCCTTTTACCAATAATAGCCCTAAAACAATTTACTTACATTGTTTTTTTTACTGATAATAGCAACAGACTAACATTTCTTTACACATAAAAACAACATTGCTATTGTGGGTAAAAAAAAGGTAGAAGTATGTTGCTATTATGGGTAAAGAATTGTAAATAAAATCCGTTCATATATTTTTTTAGTTATTTTAAAGAAACTGACTCATGACATATTGACTTATTGACATATTGACATGTGTGTTTGCATTTTTCAGGAAGTGAAATGTTACATTTGCAAAAGTTTTGGGCATCTTTGTTGTGTTGACTATGGAAAAGGTGCAAGTGAGGTTTCTTGTTACAGATGTGGTCAATTGGGCCATTCAGGTTTGGTATGTTATGTCCTCTACTTTTATAAATATTTTAGTTCAATTAATTTTGTATATTTTGTAAAAAGCTAGGGTTAGATTCATATTTATATGAACAATGTTTCACCATTTTCCCAATTTATGCAATAAAGTGGTTTTTAGATGAAATTGTATCCTAACATATTTCGTATAATAAACCACTTTGTTGGTTAAATTCACATTTTTATTTTATTTTTTAATGGAGGCATTGTATACAAAAAATTAAATTTTGAAGGAATGAGACAATAATGCGCCTTTTAGTGGCAGATTAAACCATAATAAGTTTCTCGTTTTTCCCAATTGTTTGTATAAATGATTTATTAAAAATATATTTGAAAAAATGACCACCCACGTGGGGAAATGGAAGGAAAATATAAACCAGGGCAAATTTGTAAAATATTAGGACTTAATGGGAAAGCCTCATTTACCTGACCTTCTCTATTAAGTCGTTCTTTATGCTTTAAATTAAAAAAGTAACACTCATACATAGCTTATTGGATTAAGTCTGTGAAAAAAAGACGTAAATGCCCTCCTCATTCTCTGATATTTTTTTACAGGAATGTGTAAATTCTCATGCACATGCAGAAACAAGCAACACAATGTCACCTAGTTCTTGTTACAAATGCGGAGTGGAAGGCCATAAGGCACGTAAATGTCCAACTTCAACTAAGGTAATAATAATACACTCATTTTTTAAACACTAACTTGTAGTCATTAATGCTTAAAAAGATGTAAATGCCCTCCTAACCCTCATCATCGAAAATAGCCCTAGAAAGCTTGTCCAGTCGGTTTACTTTTGTGAATGGGACAAAAATATCATTTTTTTTTTGTCCCACCTAAAAAGTTGGGAAAGACTCGTTTTTAATCTCTTGTTTGTGCAAAAGACGTAAATGCCCTTCTTACTCTAATCATTGAAAATTGGAAGAAAGCTTGACTGGTCCCATCAAGCCTTGTCAATGGGACAAAAATCGCAACCTTTCGTTCCATTGTGGAAAAGACGTAAATGCCCTTTGCACCCTCGTGTCATATTTTATGTCATCCAAACAAATTTTAAACCCTAAATTTTTCTTTTTTATATTAGAAGCGAAAGAGGAAAGCCAAATTTTCACACAAATTACAAGATAACCATGACCAAATAGGGGTTAGGTCCGCACCTCCTACTATAACCGAAGGGCGAAATAGGAATATAACACAAAACGGACACTCAAGTTCATATCAACCAAAGCATAGGGGTGGGTGGATGAATGAAGATCATGATGGGCATTACCATGTTAAAGAATGGGGATCTCCTTCAACACCACAAACTTATCAATCTAACAATAGTTTCCATGGAAATCATGATGCAAATAGTAATGGTTTTAGTTTTCCATATGAAACTTCGAGTGCTTCTAATGGGTATCAATATGGTTTTTCAAGATCAAGATTTGGTGACTCGGGTAATTATGGAATTGGAAGGAGAGATTACAATTTGGATAATTAGAGCTACAAAATAGATTTTAGTGATTTGAAAGTGCTAAAATGTTTTCTTCTTTTTATTCTTCGTTTTAACTTTTCCAATTAGGTAATGTGTAATCCATAGTTTTTACTTTTTATTAGTGTTTTGTCATCATGTCATATACAAATATTGTATCATGTTGTTTTGTTGATACGATAAAGAATGTATTCAACATTTTAAATTTTATAGCATGATTTTTAAGATGTTTCATGGAAATTGCAACTTGTTATACTATCCCTATATGCAATAGCATGTTATTTGGTTTGATGTGTTTTAGACTCGCTTGTGAGAGGATATACACATTTTTATGCGTGTGAGAATATTTTTGGCTCACTTGTTACTAGTATAGACATCCTTAGGTGGCTGAAAGTGATATTTTAATGAACAAAGGGTTAAATGTGTATTTATGGAATAATGTTATACTTTTTTTTCTTGGTTTTTGTAATAAAATGGGTTTTTTAGACAAAATATGCAGCCATATTTCATTTTATGATTAAAAGATGCAACATTTTAATGTAACATGTGACATGAAATATTAGCGAGTGATTGGTTAAAAAGTAAAACATTGTGGGTCATAGACAATATAGTTGGTTCCACCTCGATAGTGTGATTTTTTATTGTAATCATTGTGGGCATTTGGTCCTCATGCTAGCCTCTTAACACATAACACATAAGATATACATGATTCATATATCACATGATGTTTTTAGGGGATAGGCTTAAAGAATAACTAAATAAAAAAAAATGTGTAATGTGTGGTCATTTAAGTCATGTGGGCGGGTCGGGGTCGGGGTGGAGATGTAGGGGTGAGGTGAGGGTGGGTGGGTAGCATGTTGGGGTGAGGATAGATAGAGGTAGGTAAGGGTAAGGGTCGGTGGGGTGTAGGTAGGTGTTACTAGGTAGGTAAGGGCAGGGTGGAGTGGGTGTAGGGTATGAGGTGTGGCTAGGGTGGGATGGGAGCCGATGGGTGGGGTGTTGGTGAGGGTTGGGGTGTGTGTTTAAATATTGTAGAAAAGTTTTGGAAATGAAAAAAGTGTGGAAAACAATAATTATCAGTTTTCTAAGTTCTTTGTAATTTGGAAAATGGAAAATTTTTGTTTTCTAGAAAAATTTTGGAAAAGTAATCAAACCAAACACGTTTTCAAAATTTTCACTTTTCTTTGAAAACTAGTGAATTTTTCACAACCAAACACCACTAAGGTGCGTTAGTTTGTGAAAAATTTGTTTTCATTTTTCTAGAAAGTGTTTCCAAAAAATAAAATTAAGTTTTCATTTTTAGTTTTCAATGAAAATTTTAGAAAACACGTTTTGTTGAAACCTGTTGAATTTTCATTCTCCATTTTATAAATTTACAAAACCTTGAAAAACTGTAAAAATCACTTTTCTAATTTACATACAATTTAGAAAACCAGTGGAGTTCATAACACACGTACCTTGTTCGATATCAGTGTACGGCGTCACCATGTCGCAGTGTCCTTTAAGTACCTTTTAGCAGCCTTGATCTTTGTATCATCATCCACTATGCTTACTCCTTCAAATTATTGCTTCATTTCCCATAAAAAGTCATCGACCACCCTTGCTTCTCCTTTACCCACGAATGTTGATGGTTTTGGGACTTCAACTTTTTGAGCATAGATGTTGGAGCCACCTACTCCGCTAACTATCTGCATGCATATCCTCTACTCGTTGAGTCAAAATAGAGAGCTCACCTTGCACTTACTCACGTAATTTAGCCACCTCACCTAGGAACAACCCTTGTAAGTCACACATTTCTTTCCGTAAATCTCCACCAAGTTGATTGATCGCTCCATTTACATTGTCTTGCATTTCTTCATTGTCTAATGTCATCATGCCCATTTGTTGATGTTGTCACACCCCCAAACCAAGGATGGCGGAAACGTCCGGGGGTGGAGGACTTCATGTAGAGTATCACAACAAAGAGTATAATAGTGCTCAAAGTAAATACAACCAACACAAATATAATTGAAAACGTTACATCAAAGCACGTGTTTACATGATTCCCATCAATTACATTATAATACAAAATGAACTGTTTGACGATTTATCGTCCCATCCTCAAAATGTTGTTGATTTCCTGTTTTCACTGAATTTCTGAGAATACAAGTAGTTTTGAAAAGTGTCAACACAAAGGTTGGTGAGGTCATAAGAAATTTCGTTGGAAAAGTAAATCGTTTTCCTTGTAAAAGCGTTACAATATGCATCCAGAAAATCCGATATTTTCTTTAAAATCTGCGTAATGTAGTCTTATGACTGAAGACCAAAATGTATAAGTAACCTTTCTTATTAATTAGAAAATGTTATGTACTTAAATGGACATGGACGCGTTTGAATTAAATGAAATTTCTGTATGTTCTCATGTTCGTTAATACTTTATATATATGTAGTCCTAAATTAGAGGACCGAGAAATAACAAGTATTGACCATACTTAAAAGTATAAATGTGGTTTCAAATGATGTGTAGTCGTAACTACTAAAACCAAAAGTGTACAGTAATATCTGTACTCATAGAGATAAAAAGTGATTTTAAATCGACATAAAACTCATTTAGGTTTTAAAAATAAAATCCCGTAAACTTATGGATTGTTATATCCCTATGTGAGTCGCTATAATCATACTATGACTATGTGAACCTGCCACGACGTTCTTAGTGTCGCAAAAAAAATAAAATGACATTTGTCACCCGTAGACCTGCAGGTCCAACTGTAGCTAGCAGCAAGGTGTGGGGTGTCAAACCCAATATAGATCTATATACAAGTATCACGTTCTCCCTCAAGGAGATTCTGATTATAACTACCAGGAATTATATCCCGCACTCGGACGTACGGGGAGAGAGAGAGAGAGAGAGAGTCTCACAATATAGGTTAACAAGTTTACGTGAAATGTGTGTGAATATAAATCTTTCTTGTATGAATGTACCCTTTTTGTACGAGTGTGTTGAGTGATGTATCATAAACTATACCTATTATAGTTTATCTAAAATGTATGTAATATGTATGAATTCTTTTATGGAAATGTATTAGTGTTGTGAATTTATCAAACTATAGGTAAACAAGTTTACGTGAAATGTGTGTGAATATAAACCTTTCTTGTATGAATGTACCCTTTTTGTACGAGTGTGTTGAGTGATGTATCATAAACTATACCTATTATAATTTATCTAAAATGTATGTAATATGTATGAATTCTTTTATAGAAATGTATTAGTGTTATGAATTTATCAAACTATACTTTTTATAGTTTAATATACGTGTTCTAAAATGAATGAAATATATTTATTATGAATGACTTAGTTTTAGTTCATGATGATAAACTAACAAAGAAACACATTCAATAATTAGAGCTTATGATTATACACTTTGCTCAACATATTACAAAGTGTTATGATATTTACATGCTGTTGGCTAAATTTAGCAATTCTGCCCTGTTTTGGAAAAATCATAGAAAAATCATACGAAGTCGAAAACTAGATCCGTAAATTCTGAGAGTTCACAAAATGTGTCTAGTTTACTCATAATTTTTATCACGATTTTTAATGACCTCCAACTTGGGTGAAAAAGTCCATAATCACAGACTGGTCCGGATTGTTGTTTGAAATGATAGGCAGTTTTGTAAAAATCACCATAAATTGTAGAAAAATCGTATGGAGATGTGCAAGTAGTCATTTTAAAGCTAAAAACTTGAACTATTTGCACCTTGTACAGTTTTGAAAACAAAAATGTTTAAGATGCCCAAAACAGTCCGTGAATGGAGTTGAACTTTTCTGATGAAGGCTGTTAGAAAATTTAGTTATGTTCTTAGTGTTTTAACTTGTATTCCCCCCCTGAAAACTTGAGAAAACATAAAAATGTAGGGGTATGAACTCACCTTGAGTGATTTCAGTAGATAAGTGTTGAAGAAGAGAAGTGTTCAACCCAAGAACACTTGAAGAATCACTTGAAGATTCGAAGCTCTAACGCTAATATGATGGAGTTTGTGTAAGATATCCATGATTTGAGTGGAAATAAGTGATAATCATAAGGAGGATGAATTATACTTACTAAGAGTGGAAGAACACTTGATAATCAGCCTTGAATCTCGAGTTTGGTGAGAAAAGTTTGAGAGAAAAGTGGTGTTTGATACTTAGTGAAATGGGAGAAAATGAGAGAAATGAGGAGAGAGGATGTTTGTTCCAGCTCAAAAACGTGGGAATGAGTGTAAATTAGTGTGAGGGACATTGAAGTGACCTAGGTAAGGTGGGGAGGTGTGGTTAGTCAAAGAGTGGGTGTGGGGTGGTTGCTTGTGACATTGGATAAGGCAAAGTCAACACTCCACCTTTAATAATTCACCCACTTGATTTTTATTATTTAAATAATGATTTTCATCAAAATATGTTTAAATTATGAATATTTAGAGTTTATTATGTTAAAATATAATTTCTGGAGAAAATCCCGCTTTAAAATCATGAAAAACGGGCTTAAAATGTTAAAAATATCAAAAATGGGCTAAAAGTGACAATTTCCGAAGTCTGGCCGAGGTTCGGCCTTCTGGTGCTGAAACGAGAGAGAGAGGGAGGCAGAACCGAGAGGGAAGAAGAGAGAAGGGAAGGAACCGAGAGGAGGGAGGAGAACAGAGGGGCGCGAAGTAGAGACAGAGAGGAGAGAAGAGACAGAGAGGCGGGCAGAGACCGAGAGTAGGGAAGAGACAGAGAGGCGGGTAGAGACAGAGCGAGAAAAAGAAGCAGAACGAGAAGCGACAGAGGCAGAGGCTCGGTCCTCGCGTGCCACAGTCAACAGAGGCTCGGTCCTCGCACGTCTTAGCCAACAGAGGCTCGGTCCTCGCGCGTCTTAGCCAACAGAGGCTCGGTGTTCGGTGTCTTAGCCAACAGAGGCTCGGTCTCCGGTTTCTTAGCCAACAGAGGCTCGGTCTTCGGTGTTTAGTCTCGGCCTTAAGGAGCTTCGGCTCCTTAAGAAGGGTTTCGGTTCTTAAGGTCCCGTTTTCTCGTTTTTACCCCGTTTTAAGCCGTTTTTGACCCGGTTAAGGGTCGGAATGACCCGAATGATTCCAAAAAGTTACGGGAAACTTTTGAGAGAGATTTGGGAGAGATTTCTCACACTTGGAGAGATTTGGGAGAGATTTGACATTCTTGGAGAGATTTCTCATACACAGAGATATTTGCGAGAGTTTTCACATACTTGGAGAGATTTGGGAGAGA